AGTTTCTCCAAAATGAAAAACAAAAGTTTTCTCAAACAAAAAAAAGCAAATCTTTTCAAGGCACAAATAAGTTTGTTATAATAAGAAGTAAGCAAATTAGTTGCATTAAATCCACCTATGTGCAAAATACTTCTATCATGTGTCACTTTTGTTGCAAATTTGGACATATGCAAAATGATTGTTATGTAAAGAAAAATATGAGAAAAGGCATGAAATCCATGTGGATTGCTAGATCATGTCGTATTAACTCCCAAGGACCCTATAAAGAAATGGTACCAAATGAAATTTCTCATATTTAGGCACATCATGATGATTTGATCCAAAAAGTGCTATATGGTTGTAAGTACAATTGAAAATTTTGATATTCAATATGGTCTTGATTTGAAAAATAAAGGGGGAGTTTGTTTTTGATTGATGCCAAAAGGGGGAGTAGGATTTATTGAAATTTCTTTGTATGTTGGCACTTTCTAAGGGGGAGCTTTTATTGAAATTTCTTTGTATGTTGGCACTTTCTAAGGGGGAGTTTTATTTGAACTTATTTGATAAAAGAAATCTTCATTTTGTTTGTCATCATCAAAAAGGGGGAGATTGTTGACCTTGGTCGATCAATCCTTGGTTTTGATGATTAACAAACCAAAATGTAGATTTGGGCTAATGTTTTTATGTGAGTAATTTGTTAGAACAGATTCTTGTGGCATAAAAGAAGAAGCAAAAACAGGGCACTCATGTCGGACGCTATCGGACGTCCGAAAGGATGAAGAACATCAAGAAGGAAACTCTGTCGGACGCTCGTGAGGAAGCATCGGACGTCCGGAAGGATCGGACGCACGCCTCGGACGCACATCGATCGCATCGGACGTCCGAGAAATTTCGCAAAGATTTGATGACTCTCTGCCTACGTTCGGACGCAGGGTTCGGACGTCCGACAGGTGGTTCGGACGTCCGACAGGCACCTGTCGGACGTCCGACAGGCCAACGGCTAGTTTTGACAGCAATTAATATTTGACCGTTGGAGAGTCTTTTGGAGCCATTTCTCACCTTCTATAAAAACCCCAAAGCACAAGAAGACTAGAGACTTTTGCCAACACAAAATATAAGCTTACAAGTGAGATTTTTGAGTAGAAAGATTCTTTGTTGGTTGTATAAGGGGTTGGGAAAGTTGGGTTGTGAGGTTGCTCAAGTGAAAACCTTGGTGAAGGTGAACCTATCACTTGGAGTGGTAAAACCTTGGTGAAGGTTGCCTCATTTGTATAAAATAGTTCTTAATTGGGTGAGTGATCTTTCAAGTGTAGGTTGTTGAGGGTTAACTAGAATTGTTGTAAAACTCCTTGGCTCAACCAAAGAGTGTTTGGGGTGAGGAAGGAGTGAACCTTCACTTGTACATTTTGGTTAGCATCGCCATCAATTGAAGAGGCTATTGGATTGATATTTGGTTTGCATTTCTTATCTTTTCTCTTTAATTAAGTTTTCTTTATTGTGCTTAAATTTGATATATCTTTGTGCATCATTGTGAAATTGTTTGTACTCATTGGATTGCACCAGGCCTTACAAGGATCATGGGTCAATAACTGGTATAAAGCAGGCTTTGTGGACAGTGTTAATAGGCTAAGGTCAAAGAAGTATTTAAGGACTTTGAACCAATTTTCTGTACTGCCAAATAAGATTGGGCTTGAAGGTGAATTCCTCACTTAGAACTTGCCCAACTCTGGCCTTTTTTTTCTTTTTTTGTGTCTAGATCAATGTCCACCATAACAGATGTCAGGCGTCCAATAGTAACAGTCAACCAATTTCGGCCCAATTTGATTTACTAATGTTTCAAATTGTTTCGAGTCTTCACAATGTTTCATTGTACGGTGAATCTTCTCCAAAGGTCTAGTCCGTAACTAGAAGGAATCTGTCAACCACTTTGTTAAAAGCAGACACTTTTTATCAATCCTCCATTTCGTTAAAGAAATGCATTCATCTATTGCCTTCTCTCGTTCCCCATTCCTCTTGTCAATATAAATTGGCTCAATTGATAAGAATAAATTACTTTTTTTATAAATCATGTATTTAAATTTCGCTGTCGATGTAAGAACTGTGATAGTATGATCCTGAGGGCATATTCTCATTATTAATGTGAGAATTGTATTAGTATAGTTTTAGAGGAATATGCTGATCTACGGTGATAATTAGAATAATCCATCCAAACTTTTAATTATCCAAGAAAAAAAAATCTCTTGTTCTCTCCCCCCCCCCCTCTCTCTCTCTCTCATTCTCTAGGGTATAATCTTGTTCTAAAGTACATTTTGCATGCCTCAAAATATTCGAGACTAAGTGAACGAAAAAAATTCAGAAAGGCCATATATCATACAAATGGTCATGCTCATGCCTACGACATGATTCATCATCATAAATTCCACTAATTAGCAATTGGCTAAATCATGACCTTCTGCAATCAGATCAAATTTCTCATCAGCATGCCTCAGGCTGAGGCTGCTGTGTGACTCCTCTGTTGCCTTTAACTTGATTTCCCTTGACCTCATTTTGGCCAATCAAGAAAATAAGATCACATTCAGCTCATTTGCAGCATGAGGGTCACAATTGTGATGGGAGGAAGTGAATTTTCCATTGACGTAGAGCCTCAGGAAACAGTTCTAAATATCAAACAGAAGATAGAGCACTTGCTCAGCATTCCAGTAGCCTCACAAACTCTAGCCATATGGGGTTGGGAATTGATCGATGGACTCGACATGGAAGATTATCCCATCATCAACGAATCCACCAAAATCCATTTGAACATCAACTCCATGCCAGCACTCATTGAAGAACACAGTAAAATCCAAATCACTGTAAAGTTCTCAGCAAGAAAGACTACCTTTGAGGTCGAAAAAACAGAAACTGTTCGAAGCCTGAAAGAGAAAATCCACATCATTGATGGCACCCCAATAAAGAGAATGGCATTGTACTTCTCAGGACAAGAAATGGATGAGGAATTTCGCTATCTAACCAATTATGGTATCTCAGATAAAGCAGAAATCATCGTCTTCCTGAAAAGCACAGCTCGAATGATTGCTGATCCTCCGACAAGGAGGCTTAGTCTGGCAGTTCAGACCTCCTCTACATTGCTAAATGCAGCAACCATTCCTTTGGACATTAGCGATTCGAGTACTTTAACTGAGCTGAGACGGTTGCTCGTGACAAACAAAATACTTCCTCCAGATGACTATATTTTCATCCATAAACAGAGAATAATGCGCGAAAATTGTAGTCTGCGATGGCATGGAGTTGAAAATGGAGATTTTCTCTATGTTTTCAAAGGAACTGTTGGACCAGGTCGATTCTGATCTGGTTATTCTTCATTAGTGTCTCAAATTGTGGGATCTCTTCTGTTTTCCTTTGATCTACTGAAGCTATATGGTTAAGGTTGCATGAATACTTCAGACTGAGAGAAACTGAAAGACTGCATAAGGTTTAGATTTTGGTTCAAAAGAGATGTAGCACTAATTATTTCACCGCTGAATAATTATCTTAATATTACATCAGCAAATTCTTGAACCACATGAGATTGCTCTGTCTGGCTTCTGCAACTGTTTTAAGAATCACGAAACTCATAACTACATTCACAAGAATTTTAACAAATATGGCAACTTGTGGAAATCACCAGGCTGAACCCCCAAAAAAAAAAAAATCCTGGACTCAGTAATGTAACTTCTTTACGTGAATTAAAGGCAATGTTACATTCTTAATTTAGTTTATGTAAGTGAATTAAGTTAAAAAAAAAACGGGATCCCCTGTCCCTTATATCTGTCCCTTTTTCCTATTCAATGCAAAACTACGTGGTTCCACTAATTGATACTGTTGATGTGGCACATAACATTGAATACATATTTAGAGGGTGTTTGGTAAATGGGTTTCAAATTCAATTTTATCATGGACAGCCTACTTTCTAAATCGACATGATTGAACGTAATTGCAACTCTGACAAACTCAAAGATCTCGTCCTCAAATGCTTGCATAATCTCATCTGAATCATGCAGCTTGAAATTCCAAAAGTAGAAGACTATGGATACAATTAGGATATTATTGAATTTGAAACCCATTTACCAAACATTCCCTAAATATGCATTCAATATTATGTACCATATCAGCAGTATTAATAAGTGGAATTACGTAATTTTACATTGGACAAAAAAAATAAACAGATATAATGGACAGAGGATTCCGTCTGAAAAAAAATTGTGAATTAAGTCATTATTCCCTAAAAAAGCCATTAGCTTATGGGATTTTGCTCAATGCTTGAGCTTGAGAAGCTTCTGGTCCAGTAGGTAACTCACTATGACAGACAATATTTCGCTTGTATCATAAACGCATTTTCCAACCCACCTTTTTATCTAACATACATCACATCACAAAAAGTGCTACAGTAATTATTCCAAATAATATTTCAAATAATATCCTATTCAAACAAAACCATTATTAAACCAGACAAAACAGTATTATTAAACCAAACAAAACAGCAAGCGGTGAAACCAAAGATGGATAAAAGACCTTAAACTGTAAGATAAATTATGTCTTTTCCAGACCATACAAATGCATGCCAAACCCACGCACAGGGTTTGATTAAAATATGCCATATTTTTATCAAGTATACAAATCGAACCTAATCACGTGTATCGATTATATCTTCTCAATCGTCCACGACTCCACGCTAACAATCCCACCCTCTCCCATATGCTAAGGTTTGACTAATCTCTTTGCAATTATGATTTTTTCTTTTTTTTCCTTTTCTTTTCTTCCGCTTTTTTTGGATGGTTTCTTAAGTCAAGTAACTTCCTTGCAAGTATTATTAAAAAGAGTAAAAAAAAAAAAAAAAAAAACTAATAAATTTGCTTCCAAATTGACCTGATTTACTCCCACAATAATTTTTTTTTAGGAAAAGATGGGGTGAAACATTTAAATTTGGTATCAGCTTATCAATTTCCAAAATAACTTCACTCAATCAAAATAAAACAAATTATTTGATGAACAAGGTTTTGACCCAGAAAAAAATGAACAAGGAAATCCCCTTATTGACAGAAAAGGATAAGGTGACCAGAAAAAAAATCAAAACCAAGAATTAAAATCGACAATAAATAAATAAAAATAATAACACAGAGCAAAAATCTGTCTTAAAAGGACGGCCCCCCTTTAAGCACACTTTACCTAATCCTCAAATTCCTCAGCGGCTCACTCTCTGGCCTTCTCTTCTCCCTCAATCATACGTATAAAGGGTATGTGTTCTTGATTCAATAATTTTATTCATCCTGGTTTTTGTTGTATAAGCTTGTTTTCCAATTTGTATATTGTGGGTATGTTAATTACTCAACTTTTTTTATTTTCTTTGGGCTTTCTTTTCCGAATTGAGCTGATATTATTAAATTCTGTTTTTTTTTGTGAATTTTTGTTATCCCTTTTTGGAGCTAGATCGTTGCTTGGTTTTCTGATTAGGAATTAAAAGTTTTTGTCTTTTTATGATTATGGTGGAATTATACTAAGTTCATGGAATTGTCTTTTTTTTTTTGGTTAAAGATTTATGAATAGTTTCAATCAGAATGGTAAATTAATTTTACATCTGGTATTTGAGAAAAAGAAGCTTAATTTAGAAATCAATTAGGCACTTTTGGGTTTCCGTTTTGCTGAAACTTTGATTTGAAACTCTAGACCCACGAAATAGGGAGAAAAAAAAATAAAAGGATGAATCGTTAATAGTATTTGTGTTTCTTCTTGTTTTTTATAGAATGAATTAATATTGCAAGATGGATATATTGCCCTTGGAGCCCTGCTGTGTGATAGACTTGTTTGTGATCAAGAACCTGAACAGCATGATCGAATTTAAGCAGTTATTTTGTAGGGCAACTGATATTTAAGCTATTCTTGGTGGTTGTATTGCTCTGATTAAGAGGTTTGGAATCGCTTCATTCGTGTGCTTTCTGTTAGTTATTATTCGTAGGCAGATTTAGGAGCTAAAGAATGTGGTTTGCTAGGATAAGCTTTTTATTGTCATTATATGAGCGGTTCAGTTAGTTGCAGGTGTAATGTGTTATAGTTTTCCACCTTATTTTAAACTTGGATTAGTTTGGTTATGAATTTGTATGCAACTTTTCTTGCTCTTATTGTGAGCTAAATTAATTGACATAATTGAAGCAGTGATTTTGAAGTTTTCTACAATAGAAAAGAATTTGACTTTGCTAATTCCTTTCTTCTTGCTGCCATAAGGGTGTCAGGAAACAATACATGTGATTTCTTTACTAGAATACATATACATATACATACACAAATCCATATACATATATGTAGATATAGATACAGATGTGTATTTGTATATGTATATATAGAGATTGCTTCAAGTTTGATTGCTAGGAATGCACATCTCTTTTGTTAAAAAGTACAGAGACAGTTTTATATCAATTCTAACTGGAATGCCTTAGCTTTCAAATTGGCATCTGTGGGTCTATCAAGTGATGTATTCTGTGAGGTGTGCCTCTTCAGTAGAATGGGTCTGCTATGTTTTCTTTGCCTTTGGTTTTGTGATAGAGAAGGGTGACCAGTTTATTAGGATAAAGCAAGTCATATGGGTTTAATTCTAGAACTAACATTCCAGTTGATTGATGTTAATAGCATCCAGTAGTTCAGACAAGTTAATTTCTCAAAGAGTTTTCAACCCTTCTGTCTGTCTTTGTGTAATAACCTTTGTATGACAGAACTCCTACAAGGAAATAGATTTTAATTCTGAATCTTTTTTAGGTTGTTTGAATTGCTGAGTTATTGTGACTTCTTAATCCAATTAAATGATCAGCATCAATAGTCTCTAAATAAGATGTTAAATTTGTAAAATAATTGTTGTCATTGAACATTCTTGTTGTTCCTTTACACCATCTTGTGCTTGGATCTATATTTATGATTGACATTCATGTTCCATCTGTTTCAGCTGTTCTCTCTCTGATAAAAGGCCGAGAGTCTTTGATACATCTGTCCTCTGTAAAGCAGTAAAGTTTCATGTCTGAACACGACATCCAGACTCCAACAACTTTTGGTATATCACTTCTCTGTTTACCCCTTTCTTTGCATGGTTACAAGCCATTAGTAGCGCTGTTTTGCTTTTATCCTCCCTCTGCTACTTCAAACTGGACTAATATGTGAAAATGTTCTTGGTTGAATTTTGGTGGGACCAGATCCTTTTGCCGATGCAACTGCTGATGATTCAGGTGCTGGCGCAAAGGAGTATGTCCATGTGCGGGTACAGCAGCGCAATGGAAGGAAAAGCCTGACAACTGTGCAAGGGTTGAGGAAGGAATACAGTTACAATAAGATACTGAAAGATCTCAAGAAAGACTTCTGTTGTAATGGTACTGTTGTCCAAGACCCTGAGCTAGGCAAGGTGATTTATTGCCCTGACTTAAACTTCTGTGACAATTCAGTCAATTCTTGTTCTAGTAAAATGAAGTGCAAGAAGTGTCTTTGGCTTTTTAGGCTTTTTTATTCAGTCAATTCAGAAACTGTGAATGGTTTTTTCACTTGTCCCCAATAACTGCGGCTAGAATTCTCATTTCGTCGTTTAATCACGGCAGGTGATTCAACTTCAAGGTGATCAAAGGAAGAACGTCTCTGCCTTCCTTGTCCAGGTAAGATACCATAAGTGCTGTTAAAGTACAATGTTTGTTTTCTGTTTCTCTTCTAGTTCTAGTAAACAAATTCTCTTTTATTGGATCAATAGGCTGGTATTGTGAAGAAGGAGAACATCAAGATTCATGGCTTTTGAGCAACAGCAGATGAATCTTGTCTAGCTTCAGACCTCTGACTTGCATCGGTTACTGCAGTACCCCTTCTGAACGTTATAGTATGTTCTATTATGCAAAACTGTGATGCTATAGGTGTGTTTTTAAACAAGCTTGGCAACTACATTTAGCCGTGCAATTTACTCTGTTTCATTGGTTAAAGGATTAGGTTTCCTTTTGTGGCTACCATCTTTTATGTGCAATGGTATTCATCACTGTTCCACCAGTGCTTATTGCCATTCTTCCGGCACCCATTATTTTTCCACCACCTGCCCCACTAGAAAAGATTGAACTTGAAATCCAAGCAGCACCCATTCCTTTTCCACCACCTGCCCCAGTTGAAAAGATTGAACTTGAAATCCAAGAATGAAAGTGAAGACTTGAGCCATAAGAGAGAAGTATGTTTGTTCTTAATTATTGTCTAAATCCACTTGAAAGACAAAAATTTGGTACTTTGTAACTGTCACCTATCTTTCCATTGCTTTTAACCAATTCACCACTGACAACCGTCCATCGATGTTACAAAGTACCAAATTTTACTAACAAGGCAAACATTCATAATAGATGGCTAAAATAATGCCACTTACTTGTGACACAACTGAAATGTACTTTTCAAAATGAAAAACATTGGACTTTTACGTTTTTGTTACAATATTGAACAAGTTATTTGGGATGCATTCCAACTTGTTGAAAACTTTTTACGCCATTCCTACCCCCACACTAGCTTGTTAAGTCACCCTATTCATGGGATGAGCTTTAACCTGAGGCCTTGTTTGGATTGTGATTTTTGAAAAAAAGCTTTTATGTTTTTCGTGAATTTTCTTTTTATATAATTTTCAATCACCTTTTTATTTCATATATATCATATTCTAAAAAAGATCATCTTGTTATCTCATTCAAAAAAAAAAAATTACTACAATAATTTTTTCCCAAGAACTCCTCAAAATATTGATGTACGTTCAATAGTTTGAAATCTTGGTCCTTTCTCCATAAGAGTTTCAAAGTCTGAACCACTTCAATTATTTTGGTAAGCGCTCTTTTTTGGACATTTGGTGGCATGGATAATGTTACAGTACAAGTTTTTGGAAGGACTTTTTCAATTATCAGTACTAGTAATTGGTCCATGCAACACAAATACTGTCTAAAACAATATACATACACACTAATGGAGTAACATGCCAAAACAAGACAATAAACAATAGAAAACAGATTTTTAAAACAACACTAAAAAAAAGTCACCAAACTAACCCTTAAAACATCATAAAAAACAGAAAACATCACTAAGGGAATCCCAGAAATCACCTTTGCCTTTTTGAATGGATTTTTTTTAAACATCATTAAAAAATTTTAGAAAATAGATTTTTAATTAACCAATTTATTGACAATCTAATCCAAGAAATCACTTTTTACCTTTTTGAATAGATCATTTATTAAGAAATCACTTCTACGAAAAAACTCAACTTTCTCCATTCTAAAAATTCAACCACTTTTTGGAATTCCTTTTTCACTGTGAATTTCCTAACACCAATAAAAAGCATTCCAGAAAGCCATTTATCACAGGATGAAAAACTTCAATAATCATATTTTAATAAGGAAGCAATTAGAGAATGACAAGCTCCAAACAGAGTGTTATTCAAATTACCTCTCATTAAGAAATACAGCACCCAATTTTAATATGAAAGCTTTACACTGAAAAGTTTTAGACTTCGCGAAGCATAATAGGCAAAACAAAAGATGCTAGAGACATACATTATAAGTGCCAAAAAAAAAATGTAACTATTTAGATATCATCAAATAGCATTTTGGTCCAAATCTATGCTAACAGACTAATGTTAATACCAGATCCTAAATTTCAATGCCACATAGAATTTTCAAAAAACATTGCCAAATTTACCTTTTTCAAGTCAAGACTGATAGTAGACTTGAAAGGGATAATTTTTCATTTTCGCAATAGGATTAACTCCGCGACGTTGCATCTTTGGACTTGTATCACTTTCTCACTTTGTATCCTAAACTTCATTTTTTGACACTTTGCAACCTCAACTTTTAATTTGAACAATTTACAGGCTAAGCTCTAAAGTTTGTCCCATTTAAATCCAATCAATGATTATGTTCTCAAAATTAACGAGATAAAAGGTATCAAAATTAATGATAATGTCCCGTTTTCTTCCAACTAGATCCCTTAGATTTTTTAACCATTTTTAGCATATAATCATTTATGTATATAATCTCAATAATATTGTTAGCAAAACTGACGAAATAAAAGATAGTGAAAATTAATGATAATGTCTTATTTTATTTTTTCCTATGATACCTTGGCATCTTTTAATTTCTTTCAGCACATTATTATTGATTTTTTTATCCTCTATGCTGTTAATTTTGCAAAACTTATTATTGATTAGACTTAAATAGGATAAATTTGAGAGTTTAAAGTATCCAAAATTAAAATTTAGAGTGCAAAGCAAGAAAGTGATACAAGTTTAGGGGTGCAAAGTGGAATTTGTCCATCGCAATAATTGCTCTCAGCTTGAGTTGCTACTTGTGACAATACCATGCTGACTAGCTAGCTAACATATTTCCAACCAATTTTGCTGCATTTGTCCTTTTCATTCTCGTGTTAATTTGTTTGGTCTAATGAAATAGACTGCTCGGTTTGGCACCTAAAAAAGACGCTTGGAGCTTTGCACGCATGGGGAGTTTCAGGAAGACGCTTGGCCTTTTGTTTTGACGGATAAAAGACAAAGTTACCTACAATTATGTGGCTATCAAGAGAGGCCAATTAGAAAGATTTTGAAAGAGAAAATTTTCTCCTGCTTGAATTTACACAAAAAAATTTTGGCTTCTTAAATGAGGTTAACATCAACAACCTACCCTATCAAATGAACTTTTTACTTACTTCTCCTGCAGGTTAACCTTCCTGGAAGAATTTTGTCATGCACATTATTTACACCTTATTTACACGCACTGACTTGCTTGCATCATCAACACATTTTTCAATTATTTTTTTATCTCAAATACATCACATCAAAAAAGTGCTACAGTAGTTTTTCACAAAATTATCTCAAATAATTTACAATCCAAACACACTCATTCTCTAAGTTTTATGTGCAGTTCTCTTCATAAATCAATCATAATTTGAAACTCAAATAATTGCTATTTTAAAATCCTTCTTGTTGTTTTTTCTTTTCTTTTTCCTCCTTTACACTTTTTATTTAGTGCTCAATGTTCCTGCCGACAACTTAAAGCCAAAAAAGTTTTGCAGTCTGCCAATTGGCACATTAGAGGCACTGTTGATAGTAAAACTCTTCGCTACAAGCTTTTGAAAAGGACAGCTAGGGAAAAGAAAGAAAAGAAAAATTAGCATACTGAGTTTATTATTTTCAAATTAGTATGCATTGATGACAATGTTGTGAATTGTTTTTTTTTTTTGTTAACATATGTTGCATATAATTAGGGATATGTTATTTGCACTCCATTTTTTTAAATTGCATTCTCACCATTTGTTTTATTATATAGTCCAATAAATGAAAACTATATTATAAAAATGACAGTGAGAGTGTGATTAATAAAAAATAAAAGTGCAAAAAAACATTTCCGTATAATTAAGTGGTCGCTTTAACCTTGCAAGCTTTGTACAAAAAAATCTTCTAGAATTAATGGATGTCTCTAAAAATAAAGGTTAATCACAGTTTACCCTCTTTGCTTTGGAATAGTCACACTAACTTTACTGCTCTGACCTTCAATAATAAAGGTATTAAGCTCATGATATCCTATTTTCTAGTTATTCATTAAGAATTAAAGAAACAAATAACAGCGTCATCAGCTATTTTAGGAACTTGCTAATATGAGACAGTTTTTTTAAAAAAAAAAGTGCATCATTGCCTCATTAAAACACATTATTTCTAATGAAGTATCGGCCATAAAAAAGGTAAATGTCAATATGCCCAAAGCTTTTCTTAATTCCAGAATTAGTTATTTTTGGGGATAATCAGGGGTTAACTAGTGATAATATGATCAGAAAACTAGCATTGATGACTTAGCTAGTTCCCTTTTCATTCAAGTTTTCAGATTTGTGAGTAATAATATTCTTGAAAAAGTATTGAGAAGTCAGAAGTGATTCCCAAGAGCAGATAATTGTTTCTCATAATCAATTTTTATCTTACATGACTTAAAACAAAACCAAAAGACAATGAGAATACATAAAACAAAACCTTTTATTGGAAAGTAAAAAAAAAAAAAACAGAGAGCGAAAAAGATAGAATCACAGCCCTTAATGTTCTCCTATATTCATCTTTCCTAAAAATCTATCTATTTACTATATAATAATCTGAATGAAAAAAAAAAAAAAAAAAAGCAATCAAAACATTGCAATTCAACAATAGTCTAGGAGAGAGTTTGATATTTACTCATTTACCTAACTAAGCCATCATTGACACTTCCTACTGAGTAATCTTTTTGTCATAATATCAATAAAGAGAGATTTACTATAGTTAGGGTGTGCCACTTTGATATAATTGTCTTATCCAGCGGTTTTGATATTATTGTCTTATCCAGAAGCTATGACCCATTATCGCGTTGGACTGTGCGGTGTAGAGGTTGAAAGATGAATAAAACTATTCAATACTCGGATCAAACTCGACTTAATAAGAATTCGTTCGATTTTGATTCGCTAACTAGTTAAATCAAATTTAAACAGCATTTTATACTTGATAATTTTTAAACTCGATAAAAAATTTGTTCAAATTCGACTCGATAAATAAACAAGTTAAATTTGAACAAAATTTTCAAACTCATTAAAATAACCAAACAAACTTGAACGATAAGGTGTCTAAGTTAATTAGACTCATTTCCACCTCTATTACGGCTCTGTTACCTTTTTCATAATTCAGTGAATATATGCTATCGATAGGGGTGACAAACCCCTATATTTTATGAAGAATTTCTTTGGAGGGATTCAAAAAGTTTTTATTAAGCTGTTTATTATGTTATGGAGAAGTTGTTCACACCTATAAAAAGTAGGTGGATGTGGGTACGAAGTGGCTTGATCTTATCTTTTAGCTGTCTGCCTCCTTCACTCTTACGAAACTTAGGCCTTATTTGGCAAGCAAGTTTTTGACCAAGTTTATCTGTTATAAGTTTTTTAATAATTTTAATTACAGTAATTTTTAAAAAAAATTTCAAATTTTTAAATTACACATTTCAAAATATCCAAAAATTTGTACATTTAAAAATTTTTTCT